ATAAGTATAATCGGCACCTCGGAAACGGCTTCAGCGATTTTCATGAAATTTAGTATGTGCGTAGATTCGGGGGCGAAAAATCGATCTAGCTAGGTTTCATTTTTAGAAAATGTCCTTTTGTTCCTGTTTTCAGGGAATGAAAAATATCATTCGAATATGACGGTAAATTTCGCCGCAAAAATTTTTTTATAAAAGCTCGGTCGGTAATCGGGCGGCCTCAAAACAGACGGCCGTGGTTCGTATCACGATCATTCACACACTTTTTTAAATTTTTTTCGATTCCAGATCATTGCTTTCTTTATTTTTTGTTGATCCAGATGATTTTGTTATTTTTTTCCCTTTTTTTAAAGTTGTTTCTTTTGTGAAAAACACCAGTTCATATTTTCTTATTTCATGTTCATATGTTCATATTTTCTTATTTTTCATTCTTACCGACCTAATAGGTCGGTAAGAACGAAAAATATTATGCATATTTCATTACTCAGTAATTTGTTTCCAAAATACACGAATTACAAAAAAAAACAACAAACCGAGCAAAGCTCGGACCTCCAGGTACTATTCTTTACAAAGGCGAACTTAATACTAAATAGCATTTTCTTCCAGTTCACCTTTGGAGGTTGAGAGCAAGTTACGGGGGGTAGTATGGATGTTATAATAACAGTAAAATTGTAACCGTGATTACTAATGCAAATTTTAAATGTCATACTGCAAACTCGATCTCAGGAGATTATTGGTACACCATAAGATTTTTATAAAGGCATAAACTATAGACAAACTTTTATTCTTTCAAAATTGTATATCTATAAGCAATATATTATAATTACATAATTTGGTACCTTTAACATAAAGATGAAAATTGAAATAAATTTCATAATAAGGATACTTCGTACGTAAGATAGGACATGCGACGATGTCCTACCTTACGTCCTTAACGATAAGATTGATTAAGATTGATTAAGGATAAGAGTAACATAAAGTCGTAAAATGAAGTCGGTTAATAATTTAGTATTCATTGCCTGATTTTATTGTCTTTGTTTTCTGAATTAAAGTGCACCTCCTTGATTTACTGATGTGGTTTTATTTTTATACAAAAATTTTCACCTTTCCAACATTTTAAATAACATAAATTTCGTTAAATCATTATTTTTATGCAAAATAATGATTTGACGAAATTTATGTTAATTTTCACCTTTACAACATTTTTGTCACTGTTGTTTATTTTTTGTTATATCTTCATACAGTACATGGTAGTTAAACATTTTGGTACCGTAAAAAAAGAAGGAAAATAACAGTATTTTTTTCAACAAAGTTTAATGATAAATCCAAAGCTCGGCCATTAATATAAAACAAACAAGAAAAAATACAATCGGTTGACAAACAGAGGAGAAAGCTACCAAACTTTTTTCTTTATTTATTTATACTTTATTGTAAACCAAAAACATAAAAAATGAGGTGTACATGAATCGCTAATAAACACAGGATGACGGCCTTCATAAATAAGTTTCAAAGCTTCTAGAAAAATAGGAAAAAGGGATGCATGAATTCTCAGTTCCAAGGAGCGTTGACTAGGTTTTTGAAAGAAAGAAGAGACCATTTACCTCTCTTTTAACTCTCTTACTAGAGAAAATGCAGAACAATAACACTTGCACTTCACACCAGTGTTCTGTGAGGTCATGGCATTTTCCTGACCCTGTTCATTCGCGCAACTGCGAAGACTGATGTGTAACCCCATCACAGTTAAATACCTATAAAATGACAGTTAACAGTAGGTAACAGAAAAATATTGATATATTTTAGAGTTGAGCTGGAGTAAGTCAATACCAGCTTCTTCTCAATTTGACGTATTCAACTTAGAGCTGCTCTAATATTGAGAGAATTTCCTATAAAGTTCTTTCTGATTTTTGATACTTTTGCCCTGCGAAAGTACGGTCCAGGAAATTTTTCGCATTAATCCAGTTTATGGACTACCCAGCCTCTTCACCACTTCTAAAAGTCAGTTGCTGCCAGCGACATTGTCAGACCAGTTCAAATTCAGGAATCTCCAGAAAAGAGTCTTTTTTCTCTTTTCGATTTTTCAAATTTTACCATATGAAACGCAAAGAAAATATTTTTCCACTTTCTATTTTCTTAGGCTTTGACCGGGACTTTAACTGGGATAGCACATTGTTGCAGAACAGAACTGCGGTTGGGCCGAATTCTTAATTTTTCATCATTTATCCAAATTCAACCAGACTAAACAATTTATATTCCAAAATTTTATAGTGAATCCAGAAATATCTCTTTTGTTTATCTCCAAAAATTAATAAAAACAAAAAAACTTCAGAAATATGTTACATTTTCTATCTAACATTATCTAAACGTATTTGTTTTTGATAACGAAGTACAGGGTTTACTTATAATGATATTCAAATAGGAAAATAACGGAGATGTTCGCGTAAATCTTCCGAAATTGTATCAACAATTTAATTAATTCACTATTATGATTCTGGTCACGTTCCCCGTACAATATTATTTCGTACCAAAGTGTATGAATATTCAAATTTCAAGTCATTGACGTCTAAATAACACGTGATGGTTCGAGCCGCTCATTTAAAGCCCTTTGTAAAGTTTGTTTTCCTGAACATTTGAGTTCACTGTTTTTTTATGATTATACATTTAAATTATTTTCTATAACATTGTACATTTTTTTTAATTATTAAATAAAAAAGTATGTGTGTACTCAGGTACGCACATAAAAAGTTATATTTCTTAAGCGTAACTTGGGAAAAATAACAAAAAAAAAATTTATGTGAGAAGGTAGCAAGCGTTTTTGGTAAAAATTTGTTTGTAAAAAGACATTATATGCAATTCACAACGGTTTAATTAGATATCTTGTAATTATAGGTAAAATCTCAAAAAGTTCTTGTATCTTGTATTAACTGATGTTTTTGCTTTCAGTCCCAAGACTCTTTATCTGACGCAGAACCGGTGTGCTAGCCAGAACCCACGGGTATGGGCACTCCGCTGTGGGTAGGGCCTCGCATGTGCTCATGCGTGCGTTTAATTATGGTATGTCATCTAAGGGCCATCGAGGTCGCGGTTCGGACCGAAACCCCGATGGCCGTCAACTGTGCAATGAGCTAATCGGTGGCTAGGAGCGGTGAGAACCGCCCCGGAACGCGGGTGTGCCTTGTGTTAGTCTCGCCGTGCTCGGTGGCGAAGGCGAACTAGTGTGTTTGTTGTTACACTAACCGTCGGTGTAGTGTTATCCGGCATGTCTAAGTCCCCTTCCTCGACCGGGTCGAAGAAGCGTTTCGCGGGTGACGCTTGTTGACGTTCGCGTTTGTGTCTAGTTGGTAATTTGCTGTGCTTACCACCAGAGGGGGATGATGCTGGGCTCTATCGAAGAACCGTTTGTTCAGTTCTTAAAATCTGCGTGAATCGTCGGGAGTCTGCAATCGCTGTGACGTTCAAACGTGTGTTGTTCAAACCACTGCGCATCGGTTGCGCGGCGGATGAACTTATTTTGAACTATTTGCAACTTGTTAATGCGAATAGGTAAAACATGACTGGCCGTACGCAAGCTTTATATAACAGTAATTTTAAAATATGTAGAAAATGCGAAAAGCGCCGCTGTGGGAATCGAACCCACGTCTTCGGCATTCGCGGCCTGACGCTCTAGCCACTGAGCTATACGGCTGATGTAGCAAAGCAATGCTTGGCGCCATTATTGTTATATCCTTTCCAGATTTCGAATATCGTTTTACAACGATAATTCGAACGAGAGATGTCGCCATTGCTTTTTTAGAAATTTAAATTGTTTATAGTGTTCTTTGCACTTAAGATTGAACATTAAAATATGTAGGTGCGAAAGATTGTCAGGCCGCGTGGGAATCGAACCCACGTCTGGGCATTCGCGGCCTGACGCCTAGCACGGAGCGAAACGGCTGATTTCCACAACGACGAAAATCTAACGCATTCTTCCACATGTTTTCTTAGCATTTGAAGCAAGTTGCGCCATCTAAGATCCTTTCCAGCATACAAACAACTTCGAATATCGTTTTACAACGATAATTCGAACGAGAGATTTGCTTTTTAGAAATTTAAATTGGAAAGGATAAACAATAGATGGCGCCAAGCATTGCTTCAAAAAGAAAACAATGTGGAAGAATCTTTGATTTTCGTCGGTGTGGTAATCAGCCGTTTAGCTCAGTGGCTAGAGCGTCAGGCCGCGAATGCCGAAGACGTGGGTTCGATTCCCACAGCGGCGACAATCTTTTCGCACTTTTTCTACATATTTTAATGTTCAATCTTAAGTGCAAAGATTAGCACTATAAACAATTTAAATTTCTAACAGTAATTTTCTCAAAAAGTTGTTCTTTGTTGCCAAAGTAATACCTTGAAATTGGTTGAAGTTGTTTACTTTGTAACCGAATTCATCATGTCGCTTTTTTGTCGGTGTGCGCACGAATCGTAAAAATGTTTACTGTCATAATTTTTTTACAAACACACCTAGAGAAGTATAAAATCAATAAAAAACCTCTTATAAGGGTGAAATAGTCAATATGTCTGATTTGATCACAAACATTAAATTAAATACAAAATAGTCTTTGCAGATAATTCTGTCTACAATATTTTAAACATCAGACTATTGTGGCTTCTAGTTATGTGTTGAAAAAGTACAGATGTACAAAAGCATTTAAACTATTTATTGGCTTAACAACATCCGAATCTTCTTCTGAAGTGTTATAGTGAACTAATCGGGACGTGCTAACGAACTTGATTAACTAACATCGCACATATTGAATAACGAAAACGGCTCACTACTTATAGGCGGCCTGCGAAAAAAAAGTTGTTGAAATTCAGGCAGTGTTGCTGGAGAGAAATCTTAATTCAACCGAAGCACCGTACCAACAAAGGGATCTCGCAACTATTATCAAAATCGATACCGAGACCGAAGCACCATTTTTTGGTAATAATGAAATCTGGCAAAGGATCTAGGCTATTTCATCTCAATATCATACATGACAATAATAAGAGCAGCTATCCGATAGCGTGGGTTCAAGGTTGGCCGCGCTGAAAGCCCCGTCGTCTCGTTCCATGGCGGGCCGTGGCGCCCCTGCGCTTTTATCAATACCCGTGCACCGCGACGCCGCCTGCCGGCCGCCGCCAGTACCGCAACGGGGCCGACTGCGCACGCTCCACACTCCCCGCCGTCGCATCCGAATCGCCAACATTCCCATCAGCCCCGAATCAATCCCGTCAAAATAGTGCATCTTTTGGTTCCCCACCGCATAAACCCCGGCCCGCATCCCACGCGATTTTGAAGTACTCAACCAGATAACAGTTCGCGTATACGCCCGATAGCCAACGCGTGGTGCTAGTGACGTACAGCGTCAATGTTTACGTTTGTCGCAGCAAGGTAGTGCCTGAAGGAGTGACGGGAGGTAACCATCGTTAATCACGGTAAGTTTCCTACGCGCCGCAGTTATATATAACGTTAGTGCAAACGACCGGGATGAAAGAAATAAGTTGTGTTCGGGCGCATGTGAGTGTTACTTTCGCTGGCAAACGCGCTTAGGAATGAGGTTACTCTCTAAAATAAACTGCGATTTTTGCCGCGCCGCCGTCTCAGCCCCGCCAGACTCGGCTACACAAACAGAGGGAATGATGGCGCGTGCAAATCTCTCGTGTTTGTAAATAGTTCCACTATAAAAAGCTGAACGTTTTACTGTTACTACCACGGCTTACATATGCTGAAAATTTGGATAATTTACACAATCAGTATTAAAACGATAGACTGATATGAAAATCTTACTACAATATAAACTTATACCATTGTAAGCATTGGGCGGAAGAATGAAATACTTCTCATCGATTTTTTTGATACAAAATAATTCACAGTAATCATTGTTACTTCATTTGAAGTATTTACTTTTCTCTATCCAATAATTATATTAGCAATTATCGCAATCGTTACTCCGTTATACATTCATAGACATTAATTAGAATTAACATGAACCGTCCTGCGTCTCAATACTACATTGCAAGATCTAAATTATTTTGAAACAAACAAACAACACTGTGTCCTACTTTAAAAACAAATATTTACATATAAATATCAAAATGTTCTAGTGTACAAGTAATAAAGTTGCGTAGAGTTTTTAATATTAATCTCGCACTGCGTACTGCGTCAATGTTTACCATCTTTTGTGCCCCGATGGAACTGGCGTCGCTTTAGTATGTATACACGCAATTCCTTTGTATACACCCTGCATTCAACATCGTGAGAATGTGTGCCAAGTTCAGGGTCACCACTGCAGCGATTGCGCCCCATCAGTGTGTGCAGAATTCATTATTTCCTATTTACTAAATCTTGTACCTCTATAGAACCGGTCTTAATGTTAAATGAACCGCAAACAACTACCGAGCACAACAAGAGTTTTCGCTATTCAACTAATTGTGATTTCGCTATGAAAGGATCGGAGTCTAGTTTAATAACAAAGGAGGCCTACCGGTGTTAACTATTGGAGACGTTTTTAGAGCAATTCCTTGTTAAGCTTAAGAAAAAAAATCGAATAAATCAGCTCTCACGAACTTTTGAACCCAAAAGTACGTTGCGAAGACAAATAACTTGTTTATAAGCTTCTTTGAAAAAGTGACGGTTGAGGAAACTAGTGCCCGACCGAAATCAATTTTAAAAATCTTCATTACAGTGGTTTCGGCAGGTTCTCTGATAGCTACTCAAAGTTCACTTTTACTTTTAGCAAAAGTACATCTCGACTATAAGTGCAGAAATTAGATTAGAATTCAAGCTTTTGTTAAAAGTTATTAACTTGCTTTATATATTTAAACATGATTTGGAAGAAAGGGAGAATAAAATAACATCATTTAATTGCACTACGATCACACTACCTCCAACTATTATATGTAATTGTTATCAAACACAAGTAACAAATACAATAAATTATAATAAGAGCTTTCGAATATTTGAATACACTGAATATGTCCTTGTCTTCTACATACTGCGTCTAAAGTTAGGTGTCCCAATTGAAAGAAGTTTCGCTTAAAAATTAAATGGAATGATTGTAAAACTGATTGCTATTGAATGTTAATATCCCAACCAACCATTACTTTTCAACGGGACCGATCAAATAGAGCTAAACATAAATTTAGAACGACCGTAATAACTATAGTTTCACTCTCTTTGTTTCAATCGGTCATCAAGTAATGCTTTTACACTCTGTATTTAATACAAACGCTTATAAACACCTCTATGTTACGGACGTAGTTAAACATGTTAGTTAGAATAAGAGGCAAATTCATAAATAAATTTTATAGTGTACAAATGACAACGGGAGCTACATTTGTTCCAGTTCTAAGAATGTAATTATAAATAGAAAGTGAAAACTAGTTATCAACCGGAATATACACTATAATGACAACCTCATTCGTAGTCGTATATTATACATAGAATTCATGTAATAATGACCAAAACAAGTTACCTATGTCAAGATGTACAAATTACATATACAAGTATAATAAATATCGAGTTCAAATCTTAGGATGTTTGTTAAATAAGAACCATGTTTGAAAAGAGCCACAAAGTGGACGAGCCGCTTATTATCTGCTTTAAAGTATTAGAGGCTTTTTAGAAATGTCTTATAGCATTCATCCTATCAAGCAACCTAGCTTAGTATATTTGTACAAACTCGGTACCGTCAGATGAAAAGCTGATGAGATAAAATTAAATAATTGTAGGTCTATCGTAGAAGCCGTCAAAGCTCAGAAATTTTACAATAAATTTGTGAACAATATACACTAATTGACAAAATTTGCACTCATTCTGTACAATTTTAAGCATAGCTATGAAAAAATAAAATAAAGAGATAATCCAGTTATTCTAGTACCATTTTATATTTCAATTACATTTTGATTTTCATTTCCAATTCATTTCTTCTTGTTAACGCTCTACAAAAGTCATGGGAATGAATATTACGTATTTGAAAGTCAATAACACTCTTTATGTAATTTCAAACGTCGTAGTCTAAATTAAACTCCGAAGTTTCGTCGTTTTCGTGGCGAAGTTCCTTAAATACGAGGAAAATCTATGGCTTCATTTTTCTGTTCTCTATCAAAGGACAACCGAACAATGGTTAAGCGTAAAACCTCGCACCTCTTTTGTGGAACAAATTCGAAACACGAGTTCATTGGAACCACCTAAAACGAGTCGCTACTGTTTACCGAACATTAGTATGGCTTATGCCGAGATGAAAAGGAAACAAAGGCAGCAAGGCAGCGCTAAATCCTTAACAAGTAACTTTTCTAACCTTAACTTCGGAAAGTATTTCGCAACTTTTCCCTCTCGAATGATTAAAAAAGTGTATTTGTATTGCTTCCTGTTACTTTGTATCCCTAATATCATGCCTTGTATAAATCTTATTTTGGAGAAAATCAATTTTAGGAAGAAAAACAAATATATTTATGACACAGAAAACCATTTCAATGCAATCCATAATTTAGATTTTAATGAATATAATGTTTTAAGGAAAACAAATACTAGACGTAATCACTTACAAATTTTTATGTTGATGAAGTACAAAATTAATAAATTCATTAGTTTAAATGTGAATAGTTCAAGTAAATTAAAAAAAAATTAACAGTCAATTTTATCACGTTTGATTATTTCTTTATTCTCAAAATACTGTTGTCTAACAATATAAGCGATGTCAGTAACAAATAGAAGTTATCATAATTTTCAATTTTCATGCAAATAATCCATACCAATATTATAAGTGCGAAAGTAACTCTGTCTGTTTGTCTCGCTCTCATCCCAAAATTACTGAACCGATTTACATGAAATTTGGTACACAGACAGTCTAGAGAGAGAAAGGACATAGGCATTTATTTATTTTATTGGAAAAAAGTGTTGTAAAGGGTTGAAAGATATTTATTTAAGGGCTTCAACGCGATCGAAACCGCGGGCGAAAAGCTAGTAATTGTATACAAGAGTTGTATTTAGGAACGTGTTCTATTTCTTTAGACTCACGTAAGCCCTGTCAACAGTCTGCCAATTTCGAAGGAAAATTTTCGTATAAATAGAGCCGTCGGTAACAAATTGTGTTCGATCACAATACAAAGCCCTGTTACAATGCTCGGAATTACCGATAACATTGATTGAAATTCTTATTGACTCTCAAAGGAAAGCGCGCGATTGATCTGACAATAGCGCATTGCTAGGCAGCGCTTCATAAAACAGTTAAAGGCTTTAAGGAGTATCCTATAATAGAATATACCTATTTTATTCCAAGGTATGTCCTAATTCTGAACTACAAGGCCACTCAACACCGAGTATTTTCAAAATACCGACATATTCACTTAGCAACTATTCTTAGTAACAAATTGATCAGTCCTTTACAATCTGTATTTAGACCTGGCCACAGTACAACTACCGCCCTCCTTAAAGTGACTAGCGATATTAGGGCAGGTATGGAACTAAAGTTACTGTTATGGTTTTAATTGATTTTTTAAACACCTTTAACACCGTCAGTCATGACGTCCTCTTAGCAATCCTCTCCTATTTAATGGTTTCCGATGAAGCGTTGGAATGGTTTTCTTCATATGTTCGAGGGCGCTAGCAGGCTGTTTCTATTGGTGAATTATCATCAAACTGGCTAAATCTTGCAAGTGGTGTCCCTCAAGGCGGTATCCTCTCTCCTATTTTGTTTTCTTTTTTTATTAACCTCATCACTCATGACCTTCAATGTGCGTATCATCTATATGTCGATGACCAGCAGCTGTACGCTCAGACCGCTACTGATAGGCTCCCTGACGTAACTCATTGTAAAAACCATGACTTATCTATCATCAAAAAGTGGTCTGACAGATTTGGCTTAGCCGTCAACCCTTCAAAGTGCCAAGTCACATAGTTGGGACTTCTCGCATAATGGGAAAATTAGACTTGTAATCTCCCGCATATAACATTTAAAAGTACTCGCATACCTATCAGCCATAATTTAAAAAATCTCGGGTTGACATGATGCTCAGTTGGAATGCTCAAGTAGGAAGTGTCTGCCAAAAAGTGTCAAGTGTCCTACGGTGCTTATACAGGCTCAAAAATTTCCCTCCTTCGAAAACTATGAATTGCTCGTGCAGGCCTTAATTTTCCCTTTAATTGACTGTGGTGACGTGTGCTACTTCAACCTAAATGCAGATCACCTCAATAAACTCGACCGACTTATAAATAACTGCATTTAATTCGTTTACAATCTCTCTAAGTATGACCATGTATCTTCCTTCCGTGCTCAACTTC